ATTTCTATTTCAATTGACCTTTCATTTTTATATATAAATTTTCTTAACAAGTGTGTGTGATCAGAGTGTTTGAAATGTATTGCACTAATATATCACATAGTTCTGATAATCTTCGTCTTCTTATTACACTATCAAAATTTATCAAAGAGACTAATTGCTTTAAACATATTATTTCAATAGTTGAAATCATTAGTCAATTGAAGCTAGACCACCATCGAGAACATGGAGGCACCGTACGACCATTTCGTCCTAGTATGGGACTCCTCAGCAGTACAAATCCACGATCTCGCCGCGCGACACTCGAACCCACGATCTATCGGTCTCGCGTGCAAACGCTTAACCTCTAGACCACTGCGCCTGCATCCAACGGTGTCAATGTCTGAGTTCTACCAATCCACGAAATTGAGCCACCGTCCACCATTGTGATAATAATCAACTGCTCACTGGTGACTGATTTCAAGAGGCATTCCCTGGAGTTACAGATAGAAGCCGCGATTAGTAGAGTTCAACCAGGTAGTTGTGAGATATCAGCTAACTGAAGACGACAGTGTACGGTGGCGCAATTTCGTGGATTAGTTGAAGTAAGACATTAACACCGCTGGATGCCGGCTCAGTGGTCTGGTGATTAGGCTACTGGAGAGCAACTGATAGGTCCTGAGTTCGAACTACGCGAGGGGCGGGATCGCGAATGCACGCTGCCAAGGTGTCCCACAATACGACGAAACGGCCATCCATTGCTTCCGGGTTTTCCATGGTGGTCTAGCTCCAACTGACTTATAGTGACTCACATGTATCACGAGAACACGACTGGTTTAATAAAAACAATTATTATTATAACCAACTGTGCCAGTGCTTGTTTTAAAGTGCTTTTGTTTAACTGTGCTAATTATAGCCATTTTGTGCTTCCATTACCTAGCATCATTGTTTCGCGGTTTTTGGTACTGTTCGCACGTACTCCTTTCTCCTGTTTCCACTTGTACCATTCCTTGGCACGATCTTGGTATTCGTTCGACACCACGAGATCGCCAACGAAATAAACCTGGTTACGTTCGACCTTCGCCTTCTGATTTATTTGGCACGTGTTTCTTGGTAGCGGTGTTCATAGTCAATCTCGACTCGACGCCACGCTACAGACTCATGGTTTCAACTATTGACATTACTAAAATCTCCACAAAACCCCTTGTGATATTATTATTATTATTATTTATACGTCCAGGTACATTTAATTCGTTTGGTTAACATCAGCACTACACTATAATCAAATATATTTACTTTTAAAGTGTGAAAATTTACTCTGTCTTTCATAAAACATAATCTGAAATAACATCTGAGAGAATAACAGGTACGAAATACAAGTAAGGACAAATAATCTTTTATCAAAAAATGTAGTTATCAGTAAAGGGGTTGTGGAGATTGTTAAGTTTTTGATTGAGATCATGAATCGATTGATGTTAAAGCAAACGAAACGGCGGTCCAGTGCTTCCAGGTTTTAAATGTTGGTCTAACATTAATTAGTTCATGATCTCAATCAAAATATGTAGTCTTGAATCTGTGACAAACGATAAATAAAATTTGTCAATGAATCTGTAATTAAACCAACTATAAAGTACAACACTTTTTTAAGAAACAGGATTTCAGAAATAAACAGGGGTTGATTTAGATCCAACTCAAAAAGAATTGTTTAACCTAAAGAAAATGCTTCTCCTTTGTTTCCGATTTTTCTCTTTTCCTTCTGCTTCATACATCGAAGCGAGAATTAGAAATATTTGGGTAGGATAACAAGGATTATTGTTGTTCCTGTAGGTCATCATCAAATGCCGACAAATTTCAGTATTATAAAATAAAAATACTTTGAAATTAACAAACTTATGCAACTAAAGCTGGTTAGGAATGAGTAAATATCACCATGATGGCGTGAAAATGCAAATAGAGTCATCAATATTCCACGAATTGTCGCAACTCAATTCAATAAGTAAATGGCGGGTCTGGAACAGCGAAAATAGGAACAAAAGACCGTATATCTAAAGATTAAACTATGATATGAAGTAAGCTCTGATATCAAGAATGATGACTAAATCTTTGCAACAAAATTACCTAGCGCAAACGACAAAAATGACACAATTATTCACCTACACCAAAACTCATCTCTAGCATTTAAAGATCATTTATATGAACTATTTCAATCACAATTTCTCATTATCCAAATACTACCTCAGCCTTTTAATGTCGAATCGTTAAAATCAAAGTAATAAATGTTTAGGTACTTGCAGTTTGAGGTACTACGAATTGAAGGACGTAAACATTTTGACTTAATGTTTAGCTTTATCTTTCGTGTGTTTGTTTTCACATTCAGTTTGACATCGTGTTTCGTCGCGAAAGGCTGCTCCTCACACTAGAAGGATGTGCCTCCGAGATGCTTCGTTAGAACTATTGTGGTGTTTGTATGAATGAACGATTCCTTCTTACTTGTTGAATGCTTGGTTTTGAATCCCAAATACAGTACATCCGTTCGAGCTTATCTAGTACTTCTTGATCCAATTGCGTCATTTCTGGTATTCTTAGTTTGTACTATAATTTAAACACTACTAATTATCACAACTATGCATCACACTTTTTTGTAATCTATCTTTTCATATTTCAAACTTCCATTTTGATTAAAACTTTTTACAAGTATTAGATAACGAATCGTCAGTTTAAAATTCACCATGTCTTGGGTATTACGTAATTCATTTCTCTAAGATTTTAACACAAGCCCAGTTGTTGCTAAAATGTGTGGCCTGAAATTGCATCTGAGGTCATGAGCAAGCAGGTTATCTAAGAAACTCCAACCATGTACAAAGAAAGCCTACTCTCACGCAATTTCATGACCATTATTTTAATTTAGTATGAAACTTGTATAAAGCACACCTTATGGCAGAATTGTTTATTATTACGTTAGTATTATGTCGCCAGTTCTTGAACTGCATCAGATCTACTGACCGATCCTTGCCACTGCATCCTTCCTGTTAAATAGATAACACAGGTGATCCGACCAACATATTGCAGTTAGTACCTAATAGACACAAGAAATCATTGTTATAGATCCATGCCGCTTTTGCGAACGAAAAATCAGTGGAAAAAACCTATTTACTTTTACATGCAAAATTACAGCGTTCAGAAAATATGAAAAACATACATTAAATATATTATTGTTACATTTTCCTTCAATTTCCCTTAACATACCCGATTATTTCCTTAAATCTGTTCTTATTTCAATTGCTGGATGATAGCCTTCCTGTTCTCGTCATATCAATCTTCTACTCCCAGGCCTTGGTAGTGACCTACTTTTATCAAGAGAACGAGAATGGTGTAATGGAAACAATTATTATTATAACTAATTGTGCCAGGGATTGTTTTACCGTACTTGTTTGTTTAACTGTACCAAAATACATACATCCTCCCGTTGATTGTGACCTTGCACGAATTCGGTTACGCTCAGTAACCACACTTGTAACCTGGCACGATCTCGGTATTCGTTCGATACCACGAGATTGCTAACAAATACATCTCGACTATAGCCATCAGCTGCCTTCTGATACTTGGCCTACGGAGGATCATATCGGTTAACTGGCACGTAGTCTTCCTGTAGTGGTGATCATGGTCAACCGCGACTCGACGCCACACTACGCATTCCACTTTCGATCGATGCTACATACTACTTATACCTGTCAGAATAAGCAGAATACACCGCTCCGCGTCTATGTCTTAGTTTAGAAAGCGTATTTACTGACCTCTTCTGGCCACTTTTGGTGAAGCTCTAGAGAGAAGTCTGCGGCCAAGATAATTATCTGGCACCTCAGGACGATCTGATGAGACTTCAAAGTTGGGAGGATGGCAATGGGTTAACCTTTAACACTTCTAAGTATGAAGTAGTCCGTCGGAGACATGTCGTAGACTGAAAACACAACTTATGTAACTCGTATCTAGAGGTATCCCAAGTTGGTGCCCTATAATCTGAAATATTACATTGACTGCTACAAAAATGCCTTTCGAGCAAACATTGGATTGATAAAGTAAAAGCGTATTTTTGACAAGTACAATGGGCAAACTGTCCACTTGATCCCCTACAGTTTAATTCAACTCCATTTAGAGTATGAAAACAGTGTTTCCTCTCTCATTGAAAAGTAATAGAGATATAATGGAACTCATCCAAAGGCGAGCCACTAAATCAGTTAAAGTACTTCAATTCAAATCTTATCAATAGCGCCTCAAGTCGCTGAAGCTTTGCTCATTTAAGTATTGCTGTCTCAGAGTTGACCTTCCAATGACTTACAGAACCTTAAGTACTTCTGAACATCCTCCTAAATACCCACTTAACTTCAGTTCTAATACAAACCTTAGGGGTAACACACATAAAAGAGAAACGCAACACAGCTGAACGAACTGTAAGTACACATCTGTAAGAGTAGACAAATGTTGGAATTGGCTCCCTGCTGAGCTAGATCACATGATTCCTTAGGAGCCATTTAAGAGAAAACTTGATATATACTTAAGGACTAAAATCAGCATCTCGCTATAGTTTTCTAATATTTTTTTCCCTTATCGTCAAATATACTAAGGTTCCTACCTGGTAACATCAATTGTCCGTTGAGCGAAAGCTTTGTCTATTTCGCTCAGAACCATCTAAAACCACGTGGACTATTTAAGTATACGGATTTTCTAAAATTTATCATGTCGCAACCAGCTAACCGGCCTGGTGACGTCACTACTATCACGACAGCCATTATTTGTGCTCAATAGATGCTAACCCTTATCTAACACAAAATCCCTTATAATCAGAGCAGCCGAGTGACTGCGATAACCACATGGGATGATTTCAACAACCTGGAGCGTCTACGTAACCTAAAAAAGATAGCACAAAAAAATTAGTCGAATTATAAAGGTTTTTCACGAAGATTTTAAATATGAATTGAAGTGACAACATGAGACTTTTTATCTTCAATTTTTCACACTAACAAAGTAAAATTTAGATTTGTTTAACTTGGTGCTCAACAGTTGCGATACAATTAGCCCGCCGGGTTCGCTACTGGTTGTGATTCTTGCGTGATGCCGAAATTGGTTTGTTTCTTTAGTTATCCTTATTTCCTAGGTACCTGTATCTGTTCTTACGAAGGATGCCCAGTTGGACTTCACATTGAAGCGCAAGGCCTCTGGGGCACAGCTCGTCTCGAAAGTAAGCTACTTGTAGTTCTCTTAAAGACCCAGGTTTGCACAGCTCTTGGTATTAGAGAGATGTGGTATTTTGGTCTTCAGTGTGTGGACCACAAAAACAGACTTACGTGGCCAGAGGCCGATAAGAAGATTACGACAACGCAAAAAATCAAGGATGGCCCACTGCATTTTGACGTCAAAGTGAAATACTATCCAGAGGACCCTTCGAATGAACTTATTGATGAAACAACTCGTTTGTATTTTTACTATGATGTAACTACTGTTTTGCTAAACAATGTAATGATATCCATAGGTTAAAGACGACATAGTCAGTGGGAGAATTTATTGTCCTGCAGAAACTGCTGTTTTATTGGCTTCTTATCAATATCTTATTCGCAGTGAGGGAAATGGTCCATCCACCGTCAGAAAACCCCTTAACATCTCCAAATACCTTTCTGCAAAGTAGGTTTTCCTCGAATTCGTGTACTTTAGCACTACTAGTCTCATCAGTGTATGCTAAGTGATAAGTGTTGAATAGTGCAGCTAATCCGTTATTGGTAAAACTAGTTTATGGGTGACATCTGATTAACTTCAAAGTGAGATCGGAAAAACCTAACTTACTAGGGTTAGGTAAAAGTAGAAGTGTAGCGTAGGTACTCAGAACTAGGATTTATGTTCAAATGTTAGGGTTATGAATTAGTTTTTCCAAATCACAATCTGATATCAACTATAGCCCTAGGATGTTATTTGGTCATATAGTTACATAAGCTTAACAAAAATTCGAAACTGATTTAAATCTTAATGATGCGCCTCATAAATTTAAGCTCGCCAAGTTTGTCCTTAGAGTTGCAGATTAGTGAGTGAAACCGAGTCAAAAGGTTGGTACGTCGTTGGATATCCAGAGATTAAACGACAACTCAGAACTGATTGAACCAGCACGATTTTACTTTTCTTCTAATCCCACGTAAACCATATGTTATAATGCTTCCTCATACTGTATAATCCTTCGTCCCAGCACTTCAGACCTATGTTCCATGTATGTGTCTTAACGTGATTTCAACTTTCATTACTACATAAATATCCCTGGTACACTAAATTGTATTATCCTAGGTCGGACTTGGTCTGCATTAATATTCAAGAGGAGTGCTGTGCACTCACGATTAATCTTATCAAAGGCTTATGTTTCTCTAGTTCCGATAGGATTATTATAGTTAGTTTTTGATTGTCAATTTGATCCATTTTAGTATATGCGGTTATCGTGACGATTTGTTGAGGTTATGACATAAATCGGATGTATTCATTTATTATTACCCTAGAATTTCAAAAGTATTCCATACTGCATTTCGTAAACTCACCTTTTCCAAAATCATTTTCTATTCTACTCTCACTAATACTATTGCTACCAGTTTGATAATCATTTCGCCAGTTTTACCACTACTGTTATCAGCCTAATTCAATTCACATATTGGCCACATTTTTCCTCTGGTTACGACTAAGTTGAAGAAAGCAAGCAGATCGCTTGTCATCCCACAACCGTCACTACAATGTAGATTTCATGTCAACCGAAAGTCTATTTCTAACTTTTGACATATGAGTGGATAAGTTGTATGTCTATGAAAATAGTTTCCGCTCATGTTAATGGAGAACGTCAATCAGTATGTGTAGACATGAAAATAATTAACCTCGCAATTCATAACTTGTGATTTAAAGATGTTTTTTTGATTTGATTGTTCAGGTGTTTGTCTCTTGTTGCTACAAAAATACTTCACCTACTATATAAATAATCTATCTTCATAATCATAGGTCAGCCTAAAAGTGTTTCCTCTTGCTCATTGAACTTATTTATGTTAAACTGGATCTCAGTTTTCCCCCACACCAATCGACTTGACATGCTTTTTTGTCTACATTTATTTTAGTGTACGTGAACAATATAATCTAACTGATGAAGAATGGGAAGCCAAAGTGATGAATTGTGTTTCTTCGCATAAAAATATGTCCAAGGACGACGCAGTAAAGGAATACATAAGAATTGCTCAAGATCTAGAAATGTTTGGAGTTACATTTTTTAAAATAAAAAATGAAAAAAAGACTGACTTGTGGCTTGGTATTGATGCTTTAGGTTTGAATATTTATGAATATGACAACCAGTGAGTTTTTCGTTTTTAATAGGCTTCCCAACTTCATAGTACATGACAATTTCCAATATTTCTCTTGTTTTCAGCCACTAAGTCGCATGTTTAAACCCTTCTTCACTTCAGCCTGAGCAACCGGTTAGTATCACTAGCCCTCACACCTAAGCTGTGACCCCAAACTACGTACCTTTACCTGCTAATGAGTTTATAATAACAGTTCTACCCCTTACCTTCTGTTTTCCCAATTCATAACAACCAGTCTTTCGAAACAAACATCCTTTAATCTTGATTACGCTATATCACATAGGGCTTTTAGCATGATTAAGTATAGTTTTATTTACTAAATGTTACTTCATAGTAAGTTGAGGTTGGAGCTTGAAGGAAATCTAATTAAACACATGTACGGACGGATTCCGTCAAGTTTCTTTGAGTTAATGATAGTCACATTAATAAACACGATATATTTCACATGTATTAGAGATAGCCTGACCATAGTTCCGGTTGTACTTTGAGTGTCCAAATTTTCGTTCGTAGTAAAATAACTTATAGTTTACGATGGGGAAGTGTTTAACTTTGGTAATTTATATTTACAACTATGCGAAGGCAGAACATGAATAATAGGTTTATGGTGTTCAATCATGGATATCTAATGATCCTTAGCTTGCGATGATACCACGAGGCAACTCGTTATGTTAAAGTAGAATGTAGTAAATAATGGTGGTAAGACCGCACGTGAGCCTTCAACCTTGGTTCTTCTAATGCATCCGGCTAAAGTGGGCATCTACCTCATCGTGAGATATCGGTTTGCAGAGTCAGTGATTATCTTGTGTCGTGTTAGGGTTTACTGGACAAGGTGAGGCTTCATTTTCAAAGTCGACCCTAATTACTTTACGTCATATAGATGCAGCATTTCCAAAGATCATAGTTTTTCGAGAGGTACAGTTTACAGCTGTTAGAACCTTATGTATTCGGAAATACGACTTCGTCAGTGGACGCGGAGTTCCTACTTGTAGTTTTGTCACTTCAGTCGACCTGTCTGGCATGGCACGTATCTAAACGGAAAAGTGCTACGATTAGTGTAACTCGATTGGTTTATCACAAACAGACCCAATCGCCATCCCAAGGTATCAGCTACGGTTGCGAGTAGTTTCAATCCTGATCGGGGTTACCGGCTTACTCTATAGGATGGTGTTAGAGCTTAAGTCCATCTCTAATTCTCTGACTTCTAATCGCACCGATTATTGACGAAAACTCCCAAATTGGTAAAGTTCATGCAAATCATCCAACCATATTGTGTAGATTTATCTCGTTTACGGTTTGCGCTTGACTACTAAAATACGATAAGTTAGTGTTATCTGATAACACGGTACATTGTTAATAAGGGACTATCAATTTAGTGAATTCCGTTTTTAATACTTCATAAAGTACTCGTTAATTAAGACATTCAATGCTAATTTTTTTAAAAAACAGATTTAACGAAATATTGTTCCAATATATATGAACGATACTTAGTTTCGCTATACAATTTTACACAATACTTTAAATTGTTGGATATAAAAGACGTCAGTCCACTCCATGACTTGTGTAACGTCTCAATTAAACGTTTTCTTCTTCGAACTTCACAGATTAGCACCAAAGGTTACCTTTCCATGGAATGAGATACAAAAGTTATCCTATTCTCGCAATAAATTTTTCGTCAAGCCTGTTGAAGCTTCTGGGAAGGTAAGTGACAGAAATCTGTTTCCTTTCTTTATTCTGTTAGTTATAAGTAGGTACTTACAGAATAATTTCATCGGGTTTATGAATCGACGTGCACTAGACGGGATCAAAGTCGGTTGACTTTATTTTAAGATAAAATTCACTGATTTTGAGTTTTGTGAAGTGACCTCTAGTCTCTAGACATATATTTCTTACTGAATGAACATATAACAATTTCGACTGTTTCGATTTGAGCCCGAAATACTATTTCGAATTATACAAAATAAACCTGACAAATAGCTCGAAATCTCGTTTAACCAGAATTCCGTCATTTATCCACAATAACCAAAAACAACAACAGGTCTCTTGATTTTCTATTTGATTTTATTAAATTATTGTGATTTTTTATTGTTTCTCAAGTCAATTAGTTCCTTGATACTGTTTGGTTAGTTTTTATGATAGGAGTTGTAACTTTCAGTAAGTGGACTTACTACATCAAAATCACTATGGTTAGTGTTTGTGGTTAATGTGAATGTATTTAGTTTTCAGCTAAATGTTTCTTAGTGATCATATTGGTATTTGTGTTGTCACCATCTTATGTTTGAAATATTACTCTGCTTTGCTTATTTTGTTATGTAAGAGGCTGAAAATGAAAAGCAGCATTATATTTTGAAGCAATAAAATGTGTTGTTATGCTCGGTTTACTGGTCATTGTTTTCCTGTAGTAAAAGCATCAGTCGTTTTGTTGCCTTTGTATGTAGTGATATGATAAAAATAGATTATTCCGTGTTTGTTTTTTGAATTAATTATATAATTTCTTTTGGGTTTATTAGCTTTTTTTGTTAACCCAATGTGCCAATGTTGCTTTTTTGGCATTGTACGTTTTACAGATTGTCATGCTGACATTACTAATTGCTCTTCATTGTCTCTTGTCTAATTTTAGGTTCTCGTATTCTACACGGATAGTACTCATACATCTAAACTTATTCTAAACCTATCTACAGGCAACCATAAATTATATGCTATTCGACGTCAACCCGATTCGATTGAAGTTCAACAAATGAAAGTAAAAGCTAAGGAGCGACAGACTATACGTGATGCTGAAAGGTGAGTGTATTTTAATAAATATCTAATAATCTATTGTGTTATATCCCGACGAGAATAATCAGAATTAACTGCAGGTGCATCCACTTTTTGTGTTCTCCCAAATTCTAATCTTCTAAATTCTTCATGTCCCTTTCATTTTTCTCTTTCCAAATTTATTTCACTAGATTATTTTCCTTGAATAACATCTTCAAACCCTAATTTTTCTGATTACAGCTTATAATTTTACTACATCTAGCAATATGGGATTTGAATCGACCACTGCATCTCTGTGCTAATGTGGTGTGGCAACTCGAACTGATGTACGTACGTACGAAGTTCTACGTTGTTACTGACTGACTGTTGGGATTCATTTATGGACTAATATTACACGTATATTCATGTTGTATATTCATTAGGTAATTAGATTAAGTATAATCATAGTCCTCTTATCATAAGCTTTATTTTGACCTATAGACTATTTGATATAATTTACTGTTTTTGAGTTGTTTCCAGTTTATTAATTACAGTTTCCCACAATCGCAGCCACTATTTGGCATGATCTTGTATAAATGTTATTTTCTATTTTATGGTGTGATGTGGTCTGTTTGGTTTGTATATAAACCTAGTATGTTTGAAATATGTGATAGATATAGTGGAAGCTGGTATTGGTTTTCTGGCATCAACTGTCAGTGTTAGGCGAAGAAAAGGACCAACCGGGACTCGAGACTGCTCATACAGGTCTATATATCATTGGTTTGGCACAGGGCTAAGATTGTATAAGTCATATTCCTATTGGCGAATAATTCACGTGATAATTAGCCGAGCTTAAAAACACAACGGTTTGCACTTCACCTTTACAAATTGATTCAGTTACAAAAAAGTTTATATGAGGATTATTTCTTCATTGTTATTGCCTTCCTCTTGATGAATTTTATTTACTAATATCTTGGTAAAACATAAATGCAAATAGCATTTGTACCATAATTGTTATGAGCTTCATGGGGACTTGCTTTTGCAGCCAATATTATGCTATGGAGATTGTTTACCTTGAATGATTACAAAAAGTGTAAAGTGGAGGCATTTGCTTGGTATGCACATATTCCAAAAAAGCCTGGTCAAATATCAGCTCTGATATTGTCAATGAAATACTGTGAACCATCACGAATAATAAAGAAATACTCAAGACGCGTCTGTTTTCCATACAATCCAAAACGTTTCTTTACAATAATTTGCGACATTGGTCTGACCATAAAGAATAAAACAGTCCATCTTCTTTTACCAATTTACTTATATTGAATGTGATCAGTCCCAGTCAGTTAGTGACTAACAAACTCAATATTAAATCCTTGCTTAAGTTCTCTCGAATAATGTTATGTATGGTGCTAGTGTTCTACCTTATTATGGCCAACTCGACTACTCGGCAGTTCGTCCTTTATTACTTTATGATTGCAAAACAGGTACATTTGACTAAAGGGTTTAGTGACAACCAAACCAAATCTGACTGTTGAATCGTATCAAGAAATGCAATTGTTTTTATTGGGACTCGTAATATGGTCATAACCATTTTTTGGAGGCTTTGGGCAACAGCCCAGATGTATTCAACATTTATTTTTCTCCGGATCTTCGATGTAATTATTATTTTATACTTGTTGTTTCTTGATCACGTTCGTTGTTTGCGAATTTAATTATCTGTTTGGTTTTCTATATCACTGATAATATCATTTCAATCCCTTTGCTTTGTACGGTATTGACTTTTCCCATCACAATAGGATAAAGGAAGTGGATTGCATAGAATATCGAAGTGGCTTACAAAAATTTGCTTTAAACTTAAATGAATCATAGAATCATCTTACCATGAGCCATCATTGGGAGATGTTATTTTCACGGTTGAAACACAATTTTAGCTAATGGTAGGATCTACATACATTCACCTGGATCTTATAGGCTTCATGATTAGTAGTATATCTAATGTACTGATTTTTAAGGATCGACAACCAATATGCAGCGATATATGGTTGTTTTAGAAATAATTACAAGTAAGCACAACCATAAATTTAATCGAAAATGGAGTTCTCAAGTTACTATTACGTTTTGTGAACAAGGTTATGCACTAAGGAGCAGAATTCGATTGTTATCCATTTTTGTTAAATCCATTACTACTCTTCGGTCAAATGAGTGTGAACTCAAACATTTTCAACTGGACCGTGGATCGAAATATGTATTAATTCAGAAATATTCTTATATCTCATTACGTTGATGAAGGTGTGCTAAAAGTGTAAAGTATAACTTCACCAAGTGTACTTAAATCACTAATATGGCTCCACGTCTGTGATTAAGTGGTATAAACGCATAACTTTCACCTATATGGGGAGACGTTTAGTCATTCAGATACACTAGTATAAAAAGCCTGTTAATGCACCAGACTTTACCACCACACATGTGCACCAATTCCAAACGCACACATCTACTTGGTCACGGTTTACGATTTACTATGCTATTTCGGTAAAAGGCTAGATAAAAGCGAAAAATATTATTCCTGCGTGTGATACGCTTAGACGTAGCTTCTGGTATTCCCATATACAATATCGTATCATGATATCACGCTTGCTTACCTAATCACAGTGTTTTCATAGAAAAAGTTCAAGATTGTGTGGCATATGTGATTTATCACTTTGTGTTGACCTAGCCGATTTCCATGAGAATACAGCTACTAGAGATAATAAACATCTTAAGTTCTATACCATATTTAGTACTCATCAGATTTGTGTTTATAATTATTTTTAAAATAGAGTGGTGAGCATCTCGTAAGTGATTTGGATTGTCGTAATGTGTTTTGATAATTACCTGTCAATATTTTGCTCCGTGTACCAATCAAAAACAGACTATGATAATGTAACTCTTGAATTACTTATCAAATCAACTGTGTACACATTTTTGGTGATTGATATACTATTTTGTATACAATGGTGGAAACTAAAAATTTGAAAAGTCTAAATCATTGCAGGATTCAGACTACAGACCTCTGGGTAACTAGCTCTGTTCTACTAAGTAATTGTTAACCCTGAGTGAATTCTTTTCATACACAGTAGTCACTCCTTTTTCTTATCACCTAATTTTAGTATTTTGTGATCACTCCTTGGAAGAAGACATATGTGGGTAACTGATTATGCACAAATATAAAAGACCCTTGACTGTAGATGCAGCTCTGAATTTTCTATGAAAAAACTTGTAACCTTCTAAATAACTTAATTCCCTCATAGTAAAAAGAAAAGTTATAAACATGTTATCGTTTACGAAACATTTTTTAACGCTTTTGAAAAAAATACCGAAGTGAGGAAACACTCGTTCACCCATTGGGAGCGGATAGATAACACAAAGTAATATCATTTCAGGTTATTTAATTTACATTTCAAATCAATAAAACGTTTTATCGATCACTTGGATGTCCGATATTTTCTAACCAGACCTCATATCCAAAAACTCGCCTACTTATCCCAAAAGATGTCAACTTCACCTATTCTGAGGGATTGTCTAATGTTACTTCGCTTAGTGATTTATCGAATAATCACTACAACCAAGGGATCTTCGAATTATCACCATGTATTTTGGGACTAACATCCAAGCAATGTCAGGCTAGAAATGGGGTACTCGGTAGAGGTAGCAAATCAATTGATAAGACAAATCTTCAATTAGGATGGTTTGGACAAACACCCTCTACATCGACGCTTGTTATCGGATGTAGGAGTAAGTTAAAAGGAGGCTGAAGGTAACTAAACCAATGCGTAGCAGCAATCTAAATAATCATTGACAAATGAACTGATCCATATTAAAAGGTTATCTAGTTAAGGTTCGCTAGAATACTGTAACCAATTGTTAAGGATCTTGAACGATATGGCTAAGGAGTGTTAGTGACTGGGCAGGTGCGTTCATTCGTTGCCTTCTAAACCCCAAGGTACCATATTCTTCAGAATCCTTTTATCTCACCAATTTATACCCTCTGGAATAGCATCCTCGACACCTAATCTTTTCTATTACCATTAACACTGTTACTACCTCCACTACTCCGGGATTTCCTCTGACAATTTCATCTCACTGAGTTAATGGGTTATGGAAAATTAAAGAGGTGTACACATGTCCGATTTACTGCGATGCACTTTATTGACTGAACAACCTTCTCGTCACAACATACTAACAAAATACATGTAACTCTTAGAGTAGGACTTTCTGTGTTACTAAATTTCTAAGTGTTATTTATCTGGTCCATAATTGTGAGTTTACACCCAGACTGTTATACAACTTTATGTATTTATCTGTCATTCAGTGGGCAAAACCTTTCTGTTACTGCCATAAACGTAAGCTTCATGGTTTTCTCGACTGAATTTGATTAAAATAGTTCTTGTGCTCACAGACTAAATAACATCACTATTCATTTATTGTTTTATACAATAGTCAATTTACTAAAATAGGTTCTTAAGATATACCAGAAAAAAACCCAATTCAGATATTCATTCAATAAATATTCTCCCCTCTTTTTGTTTCGAAAGTAAATTAAATAAATTCACGTCCTCTTACTCCAGTTTGTTTTCTGTACATTCAATAAATGATTGTTCGTCTCTTAACTGCAGTGCACTGTGGTGACACATGTAAGGACAATAATTTTGTGGTTGTTTGTAATTTGTGAATAATTATAGCTTTTTTGCTTCTATACAGGTCTGATTATTCATATTTTATCAAACTCAAATTAACTTCTACTTAATTAATATATCATTAAGGGAAAAACTACGTGCTGAACAAGAAGCGAGAGAAGTAATGGAAAAACGACTACAAGATATGCAACGTTTAATGCAAGAAAACGAGGAAGCATTCGCACGTACGCAAACAGTTTTAGAACAATATGAATGTAAAGTTAATGAATTGAATGCACAACTTGAAGAAGAAAAAAGTGCACGAAAACAATTAGAAAACTTACAGTATTATCTAGAAGAAGCAAATCGCAAATTAGGACTGGTAAGATTTGATGAACATTCTGAAATTACTTTTGTTTTTCCCTTATTTTTTGATTTAGTTTCTGATGATAATCGTTCTTGTTTAATTGTTGAACAATTAAACCCATTTGACAGCAAATCTCCAAATTGTATCTTTATCTTACCAGTTAGCAATTATTAGAGATGTATTATCAAGAAAATCCAACTTTGTTTAAAGTTATATCAACGTTACTCGTCTTTGTCCTTAAAGACATCTTTGAACTGAAATGTGAAACGACACGAGTTCCCCCCTAGTTTAAAGTTGACTTTTTATTCTTCATTGATGGAAATCAACCTATGGAGTCCCACAATTTCTCCAGGCAAAGGTATTACACTAAAGGTAATTACCTACTTTTCATGGTAAGCAGAGGCTATTGTTAAGTGTAAATCCTATTCTTTTGAAGACCGTACAACAGCTAAATTCACTAGTTACAGCTCTAGTTTAATAATTTAAGAACTACACTTTAGGTCAATAGCATTTCTAGTTTTCCTATGATAATTCCAGTTATAGGTAGCTATACTTGGTCATCGTGCTGTACTAATAACAATCCATGGTAAACGACGATTTTTTTGTCTTGTTTTTTCATAAACCGTGGTTCAACTTCTTTAAGTCAATCGAAGAGCGTCAGCGTATAGCACAGGAACGCGATGAAATCAATGCCAAAATTAATGAGCAAAACCAACTACTACAGGAGCGAGAGGAAGAAAAGCGTCAGTTTGAGGCTGAACTGGCTCGCGTTCGAGCTATGCATGAGGCAGAAATGGACCACTTCAGTGAACAGAAACAAGAATCTGACGGTTAGCGATGTACCACTTAAATATTTTTCTTAACCCTAGTGATTAATTGGGGACAAAATCGTTATTGTGTGATGTACATTTCTCAGCTTTTGAAATACCATGAACTTTCTAACCATTTATTTAACAAACTCATTAGATTTTCTTTACCAAACTGCAAACAAATAAAGTTATTAACCATCTATGTAATTTCTAACTTACAGGACATGTATACATCATGTTTGTAGCTGCAGAGAGCGCCTATTCCTTGTCAGCTTCGTATCTCATATAACCTTTCGTGTCAAAGAAATACAAAGTCATGCGCCTAGTCATATATATATATATATATATATATATATATATATATATATATATATATATATATATATCTGCTTCCTACAAATTATTATTTCAAATGAATTATTTACATTCAAAGTCTTCATTACACTCAAATTAAATATAGTTAAACATTTTATCATGCCATTTACAGTACCATATCCTTTACGTTACCTAAGGTTTATTTTTCTCCTGATCCCTACAAATACTAGTTTATACTTGTGTACGCAGTAATAACTGTTGCAGTTAGTTCATTGAACCACTCTCAATCTATTTGTTTGCCACTAGGGCTACTACCACTATTGCTACGACAATTAGTAGTACCATTATGATTATATGCATCTATGTATATGTATATATGAAATTTATTGATTGTGTTTTAGAATGCGAACTGGAGGCAGTCAATAATGTTGATGAGGATTTACGTCAGTCCAAACAAGATACTGATGAGGATCATGCGACACGCCTTAAATTATTACGACAAGATTTAAGCTCTGTTCGAAATCCAAATAAGATGCAAGCGATCGACATTCATTATGAGGATATCGTAAGCAAAGGTATGGATAAATATCGTACACTAAGAGCTATACGTGAGGGGAATACGAAAAAACGAGTTGATCAATTTGAATCCATGTAGTTCGTATAATTGGTTGGCATACGTGTAGTAAGTAGAAAAGAATTCATTTGTTAATTAAACTATTTGTTTCGCTTGTGTAATCAAACATTCCATGAGGAAACGCCAACTGAATTACTGTCGAGCTGTTTTACTCAAGTCAGATTATATTTGTGTTTTTTTCCTCGCTTTCACATGTTGCACGTTTATATTTTTTTATTGCCGTTAACATTGTAATAGGATGATAATTATCTCATGATTTTGGTGTAAACACTACTTGATTGTAAAGAAAAACAATTTTAGCCTTGCAACATCTTATAAAATATTTTGCTTGTAGCTTTTCCGTTATCATCCTTTTTTGCTCAATATTTTTATATATATTCGTTGTATTTGTTTATTATTGCTTCTATTATTGTCAATTGTTACTATCGTTAATGCTAATCCACTACCTGATGATACGTCTCACGCGTATTCTATGCAAGACTAAAGAAATATATGGTGAATGAGATCACAAAGAAGATTTCGTATCACAGAGATTAAGACTATCACTGCTGTTCTGAATAATTCATCAGCACAAAAATTGGGAGTTATCCTTACATATATGATATAAATATATGCCTTCTTAGTACACACGTATACTTATATATAAGATGTCTTTTATCCCCTGTCCAATGTTTTTCCATATTTCATGAGAAGTCAGTGCCTATTTTCTGTGACCAGTTTTCCGCCAATTGGTTGGAACATGTAGACAACTTTAAATACACTAATGATGCAGTGATTTGCATAATAACATATGTCTATCATAATAGGAGTATGCACAGACAGAATTTAGTAAAACAACTTCGCCGAAATAAACAAATGAAGGTTAAGTTAGCAAACTAATACTTGTTCTACGGGATCTCCGATCCACATGTTAGAGTCAATCAGTCAGCTACAACGTAGGACCAGGCACATATGTGCATCGATCAAAGTTGCCATACCTCATTAACGCAACAAGATGAAAACCAGATACATAGAAGTGGTTAATTCAGTGTTGGTAATATATGAAAGAAAGATTGCATATAAGGACATAGTACAGGAAGAAAGAATTAGTTCGTAGAAAGAAAGATATGGAGTGATTTTAATCTCATTGTTTAAGAGGGGGGACAAAATGTATAAACCGACGCCATTGTGATCGATTCTGAGCCATGTCACCATGAGTTTCCAACCATTGGTTACGATAGTCACGCGGACCCCAACCAAGTAGTCTGCATCTACCAAAATGGCTCAAACTAGAAGTTAGTGACTTCAATGACTGGTGCCACGTTTTAGTTTGGCCGCTCCCTAATTTCTTCCAACCATCTCCGACACTAGTCAGGATTGCACGTCGTGGTAATCAGTGTTCAGGCGTACGCAACACTTGGCCCAACCATCTCAGTCGATGAAGATTCACAACCTCATCAACTGATTTATCATCATTCCCTAAAATCCTGTATCTAACCTCACTATTCACTTACCCGGTGATCCCAGCAGACGCCAGCAATATTTCTAAGGCATCTGTGGTCAAATACTAGTAGTCCACATGTTACACTGGGGACCTGTTTATCTCCATAATGTATGCTCGACAATCGGTAGCTTTAAATCATCCGCCGAATTTATCCTTTCGTCTCATACTAAGAAAAGAAAAGCGACAAAAGTTAAACAACCCTTTATTGGATAATCAAAATGTTTATTAGATGACGTCGATCATGTTCATGATATGAATACCATTATGTATATCCATTGATTGTAAATGGTAGTCTAAACAGTTTTGTAAGTGTACTTTATTGTAAATTACATCTTGTTTGGTGTAGTAGTTACTTTTCATAATTATGGTGCGTACATTCCAGTGATATTTACATGATAATGCATCTCAAACAACATCTGTTTTATACTATTTCAAGACATGCGTCGACAAATTTCGCTTTCAGATTCTAAACCTATATGCTTAACTCTCCCTAGAGATGTTACAATGTCATTACTATGTTATACCGGCCTAATTTTATGTGACAGAAGAATCAAAAGACCATATAACGGTAACTTGCTTTCAGTGCACTTCCTACTAATAACCTAAGCCATCAGTTACTCCGATAATGATAATATGCCAGATAGAATTCAAACCAAAAGTTGAAATGTTGAGCATGTTTGAAGTTACCTTGATCTTATCAAAACACTTTTTGGAGCAAATTACTGTGAAAGCTCCTTAGATTTACAGATTATTTGTCTTTAGTTCTAACTTTTCCCAACGTAATGTAAAAAGGCAGATAATTCTGAAATACCTAGTAGTAGTGCCTGTTATAACGAAGGCGAACCTATTGGCATCCCGAAATACTAGTTTTCCTTCAGAAGAATTGTTTCGACAAACAACCTCAAGTTTTACAAACATCCTTACCCGTATATCAAGTATCCTTTACTTTTGGCAAAATAAGCCTGCCTTATTACTGCAATTGTAAAGTGTGGCCAGACTTATAGTTAAGGAGTATGCCTGACACTAGTCTCTTTTCCAATCTATATGTTTCTTTCTTAACTTGCTGGTCTAATTATGGTGAATCGTTTTAATATCAAATGGATGATTAAGGGTGAGAAAATGATATCTAGTTGCATCCTAATTATTATATATGGATTTAGTTCGAACTATTTATCATATTAGGTGGTTGCTAGTGAAGGTCAGTTAACAAAGTGCATCGCAGTAAATCGGACATATGTACACCTCTTTAATTTTCCATAACCCATTAACTCAGTGAGATGAAATTGTCAGAGGAAATCCCGGAGTAGTGGAGGTAGTAACAGTGTTAATGGTAATAGAAAAGATTAGGTGTCGAGGATGCCATTCCAGAGGGTATAAATTGGTGAAACAGAAGGACTCTGATGATACACATTAAACTCGATTTTTAGTGCGTAGATTGGTACCACGCAAGTTATTAAAAAGTAACTACTCCCCCAATTCGTGCAGTAAGCTCTCCAGGGAATGGCTTACTAGGTCTGATGAGATTTCCGTAATATGTGAAGCAGTCGACCTGCTTGGCTACTCCATTGATTGTTACTTGGGTGGGGGGCTGTGCAGACCCATCCTGAGTAAATGTTTTGCTTTTGTGATATATCTCGCGAATACGGTCGCATTGTCGCTTAAGACGCTCGGTAGGTTTTAGCGTCTTCGCCAGACGCAAATATTACATATAACATAACAGTAAAACAATCTCATGGGTGGTTTAATTCCTCATAAGTTAGGTCGTAATAGTATTCTCTAAAAGAATGTCTCCAGCAGTGCTAAAAAATAAGAAAAGCGAGCAACTTTGTGTAACACCTTGAATAACAATTCCTATAACTCTTCGTCATAGTGAAGGTATAAATATCAGGAGTTTATAGGATGTATTAATAAATTGTGTGTTTCCTCCGGGTTGGTTGTCATCATTAACGATATTTTACCTCAGACCATGTTTATTGGAGACTTATTGGAATACAAAGATACACTTAACAAATCAAGGGATAAATGATCACTTTTTATGCCATAATAAACCTAGATCCGTTACCATTGAATCATGAATGACAATCTCCTTCGTTTGTCATTAGCAACTAATTGATATCGGTCAATCAAAAAAATATTTTGAACTACGCCTCAAAGCAGGTGAATCACTGGTTGGTATCTTTTGTTGTCGAATTCCGGGTGTGTTGTTCAATCAATCGTTAGCAACGTGTGAACCTGTTATAAATCACCAGCCATTGTTTACGCAGTTTAGTGATATCAGTTTTTCAAAAGAAATATCTAATTATTGTGCGTGGTGAATATAGTTTTAAAAAGGAGGGTCCTCAGAATAAAAATGAGGAATACAAACCTATCTTCGCTACTCCGAAATATTCTGAGCGGTTGCTCCCCAAATGTTATCCTACAAACCCGAATAGGTAGTTCACACCTATCAACATGCATCAGACCCGTAGATAGTGACTTCATGAAGACATCCTACATCTTGTCTAAGCAGACCTTGACGGGTGTCGAGTATCACCATCTAGGTTTGGAATATTTCCAGCCACTCATAAAAAATAGGTACTTTTATACATTGGTTTAATCGAAGCTCTAAAATAGTAAGTGAAAACATTCGAGCTAAACTTTTGTTCTTTTCGATTGGCATATAACTTTTGTCTACTGTCGTTAGGTTCGAGCGGGCGTGAAATGTGGCTGAAGGTTTTCTCCAGTTATCTGCAGCCACTTTATCATAAAGTAGTGGCCGAACACTTAGCTTTCGCTATTCAGTCTGTTATGTAGAGATTCGTTATGTTTATCTATACAATATTAACAGTTATCAGTACAGTTTTGGATTTTAGATAACAATGGGATCCAGGATACGTCTTGTCTTATTTGGAACTCATTAGGTAGACATACGTTCATCCCAATGAAGATGTAATAAAATGTGTGACAACTGTGTTCGTTTTTATTCTCTTGTCCAGTTTATATATCTTTGTTTATTAATTAATACGCCAACCACTCATTCTAGATAATCACGAACTTATCAAACGGGTATAAAAATACGTTCCTTCATTGATCTCCAAAACTCCATTTGGCATATATACCAACCCCAGACGATGCCCCGATATTGTCTTTACACAAAAGATCTCCGTAAAGTCATTACGTAGTGCATCGTCAGTGAATAAATACACAACGTAGTTCACATAAATCTAATAAGCATAGAAATCATCAGCAAATAAAATGTAAGTGTATGATGAACACAGGCCAATCTGTCAAAAATGTACCACGAATGCATCGTCATATGCTACAAGTATGATAGATTCCACATCTTTGTTGAGTTAAATAAGTCTTAACAATAAAATGTTCAGTTTGTTCATTTGTGCCCTCAATATTTCTTAGTAGTGTGCTGAGCAATTGTACGATGAACTCGATCCCTAAAAAATATTAACAGCAGAACTAAGTCTTATAATTGGTACGTGAGTATAATGATGTAACAGTGACATCAATGATGAAGTTGAGTTAGGTTACCAGCGTATATCCAGAGATGAAGTGGATTTCTCGACAATGGCAAAAGTATCAGTTACAGAGAGTAAAAGTCAGTTGTATAATATAATGTGACTCCAATTTAGTTATCGTATTCATTCTTGGTGTAATCTGTTAGTGAATATTGTCTTTAAAACGGACCTAAATGGTTGAGTAACTCCGAGGATAAAGATAGTCCTCTTTCTTTCCAAATGCTGCCATACGGTCATAGGCATTTAGCCTCTGACAGGAATGGCTTGCTCAACGGCTTTACGTGCTGGTTGTTTTTCCATGAAATTGAAAGGAAAGGTAGCTAACATCTGGTTCTTTAATTGGATAATAGATATGGCGTTTCCACCCAAGGCCGTTGGAAAATTCAGATTTCAGACCAATGATCTTCAGGATCCAGAGAGGAAGAAGGATTCGTAAAGTTATTTTAGTCACTAGCCACTATAGGACAATCTCGTGATGATTCCTCACTGTCTGGTAAACTAAACCCTAAGTCAACGGCTCGTGTAATAGTCCTCTAAAAAGTCACCTACTTCCGTTTTTGCACAATAGAGGGATCCAAGCTAACACACAAATCTGATGATAATACCCTTACTTCCCCTCGTTATCAATACAATTAAATTGATATCACCAAATCCAAACACCAACTTCTGTGGTTAAAACATTTTTTACAAATTTCATCTCAGTGACTTCCACATCACTCTTTATTTGTCAACACTGAGGCCGGGTGGAAATGGCGGGTTGTTATTCAGTTTGTGGTATGGCACCGTGGTGTGAAAGATAGGCATACATGACTAGTATATGTCAGTTCATTACAACTTCTCGATTAGGGTCCCAAA